GGAAGATGATGCCTCGCCAGTCTCCCCAGCTAAGTGAGAGCTCAACAGACAATGAGGGGACTGAGCAGCCCCTCCCTACCTCTGCCCAGTATCTGTACTAGAGCTGGCAAATGCTCTGTTGGCCAGAAGCACCCCGATGACAGCTGGGGAAGCGCATTAATTTCACTGATCATGAACAATAGGGTTGAGTGTGTGGATCAATGGAAGAACAAGCAAATTGGTGAATAAAGTCGAGTGAATGTGGGGGAATTGGTGGGATGCAGGAATCAGAGGTAACTTGTGGGTGGAAGACAACAGGGGGAGTTAGGAGGATAAGCACTAGATTGAATGGTGGCAGGGGAAGGGTGAGAAAAAGTGAGGACTGGGACAGAGCTGTGAAGGAACAAGAGGGGGATCAATCGTGTATTCTCCCACCCCTGCCTTTTATTTTAAAGTGTTGCAGTTATTCATTCTGCAAAGGGGAGGGTAGTCAGAGAGGGGAGAGTTGGTGCATCTCTCTCCCCTTCCCCCCACTTCCCAATCAACTTTCATAATTTCCTCCCAAACACCCCACATTGAACAGCATCCCCATTTTCACTTGGGAAAATATGGTTTAGCCACAAGGGGAGGATGGAAGGTAGGGGGAGGAGGAAGAAAAGTTGGAAGTTGCAGCCACACCATTTACTTTTAGGTGTTAGCTGCCTTTTTTAGCAAGGGCCCCTGTTGCAGAGCTCTCTTTTATCAACAGCTTTGTGCACACTGTGGAGCATTTTCATCATGCTGAGATCGGTGGGTCCCCCATGATATAGGCACCTTGGGCAGTTGCAGGTTTGGCAGCACTGTTGGAACTAGCTGTAAAGTCCAGTGATGGCATTTGCTGTGGCAGGAGAGAGGGAGAGAGAGTTCTGAAGTCTAGACCTCTGCGGCTGGTAAGCCTTTCAGTTCACCTTTCTGAGACGTTCAAGAATTCTACTTCAATGAATTTTGCAGAGCTTCATTCAAACTGTGCCTGTAGAGTAGGCTAGCCCATCAGCATACATTTCATTTCACATTCATTCTGACAACAGAACTATGTACAGCAATATCTTATGATGGGTTAGCTTAAAATCACCAAGGTGGTTTGCAGAGGCAGGTGAACTTTATAATGGCACTCAGCCTCACCTCTGTTGCCAGCGTATTGAACTTTGAATAGTGCAGTAGCTACATTACCTATTTCTAATGATACGTTAATCTTCCACTGACACAGAAAATTCTGTGGTGTCTCATGTAATGGCTCAGCCCCTACACAATGATGATGGAATATTATGGTGAGTCATAATATTCTTACTATGCAAAATGCCTGCAAATGGATTCGCTTTTTAGTACATAGTGCTGTGTCTGAACTATGGATAGCCGTAGCAAAATGCGAGTGCTCTTCTGATCAGATGATGAATGGAGGAACTGAAATGACCTTCCATTTATATGGTGCTTAAAGAATTCAAATTCTGATGTACATAATTCTAATCCTATTTTGTTTCCCTTTGTAAAGAGCATTGTGAAAGCAAAGCCATCCAAACAGAAGTTAAATACAAGCGGTTGGTCAATAATCGTAAGTGTTTGACTTAAAGCGAGAAAAAAAAAATCCAACATTAAGGTGTTGATCTTACAAGTCCTCCAAGTGCAGAAGTCCTATTAAATCAATCATGCTCCTGCATGTGATGGGCTAGCAGGATTGGACCAAACATTCATGCTTCTCCTCTTTCATGGGTAGCTTTGGAGGGCTTTGGGAAGACTGAATGAGTCTACATACAGACCCCAAACCTGCATTGAGCTCTGTGAGGGTAGGCCCCGGCACCCATGCAGAGTCCTATTGACTGCAAGTGATGTGGCTGCAGGATTTGCCTCTTCTTATTTCCCTCTGCCCTCTCCTTGTAGGCTGACCAGTTTTCAAAGGGAAGACTGGGGCACTGAAATACAGGTGCTGGCTTGGGGCCACAATTAGCAGTCTGAGCACAATTTCAGTTTGAGTTCTGGTTTCCTTTATTAGCTGAGGTTGTACATTTACTTAAATTGTAAAGCTCTTTTTTATGGAAGTTATTTGTCTTTCTTTCACATTGTCAGTTAGCAGAGACAAAAGTACATTCATATTGGTATCTCTTCAGTTGGCCTATTTTTGTATAGTTTGAGCTCCCTTCTTTTCTTTCCCTACTCTTCCCTGTTGGGAATCAATCCTTTATGTGGATGAAGTAGCTTGCACTTTGATTTCCCTTCTAATTTATTTGGCTGGTGGATTCTTCATTAGTTATAGTTGCAAAGTTATGCATTACTGTTTTATTATTTACTTATTACAGTAGTGCCTAGAGACCCCAACTGAGGTCAGGGACCTACTGTGCAAACACACAATAGGAGACAAACCTGCTCCAAACAGCTTGAAGTCTAAATGAATGGTGTTGGGATGCCTTCATAAATAGATAGGATGACATTTGTAATTCTATAGGGCCTTCTGTCTGAGGATCCCATGGCACTTTACAAACTTGAGTGAACTACCTCCCACACAATGCTATGTTGTTAACCCCATTTTCCAGATAGAGGGACTAAGGCAAAGAGGTTATAAGATGGAATTATTTTCTTCCCATAAATCCCGTACACATACTACAGTGTAGTACACATGACTGCAGTGAATATCGGTGTTTAATTTCATAAGTGACCAGAAGAATAGCTCTGTGCCCTTCTTCACAGTATCGGTCAGTAAGTGCATATTGATTTGAAACAAATGTAAATTAGAATGAATTTTTACTTGCTAAAGTAGTCAGATAAGGAAAGTTTCTATTGATCTTTGTCCTAGAAGCCAATGATCTGGATTAAATGTTTTTATTCCATGGATTACTGAGTATGGTATTTAATCATTTTGCACTGATCAATGGGAAATTGCATGTGTAAAACCAAAACACTGTAAGATAGAATGTGATTTATTTTAAAAAGTGTATCTTGTTTCATTTACCCCCTGCCTCTTCCTGATCAAAAGCTGTGACTATAACAAACTCAATAGCAAGCTGACACAGATCAATGAACAGGGATCCTCCCTGGCACCATTTCAATTTCATCTTCCTTTTCCTTTACTCTACTCCATCCATTCGTTTTTCCTCCCTCATCCAGGACAGTAAAGCTTACCTGTTTTTGCTACCCCTTTGTGTCAAGCGTTTTCATGGTACTACGCTCTTCATGAAGAATGCTCTCTACACTGAACAAGGTGTTGGTTATAAAATGTATGCTCCATTGATTTGAAATTACTGGTGCAATAAAGGATGGGGGAAATGGACCACCCAAATATTATGTAGAAAAGCCCCTATTTTAGGTAGGCTGTAGACAGATTCCATGATAGCAAACAAGCAGAGGCCAGATCCTGCTCCCAGTGAAGTGTCATTGACTTCAGTGGAAGAAAGATCTAACTTTAACGCTTTACTCCTAGTCTCTGCACTTGCAGGATGACTGACCATCCTTGGTCCCGCCTCAAAATGTCCAAACACTGCCATTACATGTATCCATTGCTAAAGCAGTCTAGGCTTCAGCCCCAGAGCGATTTAATCATCTTAGTAACATCCTGCTCTCAACTCATTTTCCTGGCAGTAGTTTTAATTACGTTTCAGGCTCCTGAATGAATTTGTTTCCCCGGGATCCTTGTCATATTTAAACTCTTATCACGTTTGATGCCTGCAATCACTGATGCATTTGTTTTAGGGGATGAATTAGTCTTCTGAGCATGTCCAATTTAGGAATTAGATTTCATTGAAAGCTTAAAGCGAGAGAGAGGACAGCTTTGTGGTGCCACTTTCCCAGGGTGGGGGTAAATATCACGTTTTCACTTCGATCGTCAACGGAAAATAAAATCCTGGACTTGAGATTGGAACAGGAACCTTGGAATTTCATAACCTCCTCAGCAGCATCTTTATTACACCAGCCACGCGCGTTCTTGTTCCTTTTTACTTTGCAACACGATACATTTTGTCACTGAAGTTTAAAAACCTGGAACCAAGTGTTAAGATTTTCTAAATCTGCGGCTTCCATTCACCCTTGCCCTTCCCCCTGGGCTGTTTATTTTTGACACTAATGACGTCATTGATGAATAAGTCCCCCCCCCCTTTGAGGTGAAGCAGAACCCCCCAATTTTTAATGCAGCAGATCACTCCAGCGTCAAACTTTTAGCCAGCGCTTCCCTTGCGAGAGGGTGGGTGGGGGCAAATGCCGAAACCAAATAAAGCAGCAGGGCTGAGATTCAGAGGCTAAGTTTCCAGACTGGCCAGGGAAAAGGTCGGTAAGATTTCCAGGTAGTTCAAGGAATTAAACTCCCTCTATGGAGGCTCCCAAATCTTCGTTAACGGCGCTCTGAACTTCGGTCCCCTCCACAGTGCTGCGGGGGAGAGGGGGACACAAGAGTCCTGGGGGAAGACTAGAGCCAGCATCCTCTTCAGCACTGGGAAAGCTGGATTGAATGGAGGAGCACGAGTGGATAGCGTCTGCTGGGAGTAAAGCAAGCCTGGGCAGCTGCTGGATACGGGCATCTCCATAGAATCCGCACTAGCCTGTGGGGGGGAAGCTGTTCCCCGCAAGTGATGGCAACCGTGGAGCTGCTGGGATCAGCTAAGATTCCCCCCTTTGTGTCAGAGCGCCTCTTCGTCCCACTCTGCTCTCTGCCGGTCAGATTGTAGTCAGTTTCACTGATTGGCAGAGATCTTCCTCTCATATCTCAAACTCCCCTTCCTGTTGAAAGCCTCCTTAGCCCCCCCTGTCGCCACAGACCTTTTCTCCCGTCCTGTGCCATCCTCGCTCTTCTCTCCCCATCTCCTCGTGCCACCCCCTCCAGCCCCCGTTTTTGGCTAGGCTCCTGGGTGGAACTGGGCTCCACTGTTTCCCTGCTCTACGCTCTTCTCTCCATCTCCTTGTGTGTTTCGCCCAGACTATATTGAGTGGTGAGTCTCTGCAATCACGTGGTGCGGGGGGGGGGGCGGTCCTCCGCAGTTTGCTGTGCGCTGGGGCTCAGACACACACGGAGTGGTGAGGAGCTGCTGCTGAAGTCTCTGCCCTGCTGCTGCTTCCTCGCAGACACCCAGGATCTATCCATCTGCACACATTTTTAGCCCCCACCTTTTTCTTGCTGTCGTCCCCCTGCTTCCCCGTTCTCTCCATCGTCTCAATCTTGGAAAATCCTTGGGGTTTCGGGGTCTGGGATTTTTTGATTTTTTTTTAATCTGGGTACCTTTCCCCCCTTCTTCTTTTCCCCCATCTCTGTCTCTCCATCAAATCCGGGCTGATGTGCTCCGCGAGAGGCTGGAAATGGAAGTGGTGATGATCTGGCTTTTCCCCTGGATATTTCAGTGCGTTTCAGTGCGGGCGGACTCCATCATCCACATTGGTAAGAAGGGGGGGGGTGAAGGGGGGAGAAAGCAACAAATACAAGAAAGGGATGGTGTCTCCTTAAAACCCCATCATGTCACGGGCAGAGGGCGAGCGAGCCCCATTAACTCCCCAGAGAGGGGGGCACAAAAGCCACCCGAATCCTCCGAATTGCAAAGTTAGCAGCGAGATGAGGAAGCGACGCTGGGGTCCCTTTTGGTTGCAAGGATGCTGCAAGCACGTTAGCACTGAATCGCTGCAGGGGTTTCTCTGGAGACAGGACGCAGGTTTGCTGCTGCCGTTTCTCTGGTTGTACTAGATGCTGGGCTCAGACCTGTTTGCGTGCGAGGTTTTCTCTCGTCCGCCGCCACCCCCAGTAAACAAGGCAAGACAGAATAGGAACCATCCCGTAGGGGAAACTTTCCAAAAATTCCCCCACCGTCCCCTTCCCCAGTCATAGCAGATGCTACTATAACGGGAATGCAGGAGGGAGAAGTTGGCTGGGAAAGGGTTAGGAGATGCTAGATGCGCAGTAGCTCTCTCTTTGTGTGTGTGTGTGTGTGTGCGCGCACAACTGTTGTGGTTTGAATAAGGGCTCATTAAAACCTTTGGGCTGCAAGGCTTGAAGTCTCCAGCGAGGAGAAACCTGGCTAGGCGGAGGAGGGAGAAGGAGAGGCTGGGGCAATGGCGCATGCTGGACAGATAACTTTTGTGGCTTCTAGGAGCAGGGTAGAGGAATGTCCAGGGAAAGTCTGGCCAGCAAAAGGCAAAGGCTCTGCAGTCACCTTTTGGCGGGTAGCGAATAAAGATGGGGGTGGGGGAAAGAGAGGGACAAAATCCTCCACAAACCCCTCGGGCTTCTGGCAGATGAGAGGGGAGGAGATGGAGAGTGGCGGAGAAATGAAGAGCAATGATTCCCATCCGCCTTTAGAGGAGGAGGAGGAGGAGGAAAATCCTCAGGGAGGAGAGAGAGAAGCCATGGAGCAAGAGAGGCTGGGTGGGAGTTCAGTCCGGAGCTACAGAGCGCGCGCCTGTGCCCTGATGGACACGAAATGTAACAAGTTTGCTCCCTCCAGGCGCCACGCGTGAGGGCGCGGGGGCGAGCATGTGGGGGAATGTCTCTGGGGGTGGGGACCGATTTTGAACCAGCTGATGTGGTGGCGGCGGGGAGAACGAGGATGCTCAGACACCAGCCCTGTAAAACAACCAGGAGGCTGAGGCCAGGGCCAGAGCCCACAGCATTGCGGATCTAGCCGAGAAAAGAGACCGAGTCAACTTTGCCCGCTGTGCGAGGAAAGCTCTGAGCTACCCGCGAATTCCGAGGGGGCGAGGCGGGAGGGCGGCGGGGAAGCCCTGGTTGCGTCTCATCCTCTCAGGCGCTGGACGCACTTACAGGATTTCAGCTGCACCAGGAGCACGTTGTTCATCTTGGATGCAAACTGGAGATTTCTGACTTTTTTCGCGATTTGCTGAAGAGGAGGAAAGCGCGCCCCATTTCTCATCAGTGGAGCTGGAGAGCGGGGAGTCCAGAGACACAGCAGCTGATGGCGGCCAGACGTCCACAAAGCCTCTCTGCCTCTTTGCCTGCCAATGGACAAGGTGAAGGCCAGCTATAGATTCGTGGCTCGTATGCCTGCCCCACACTTCAGCCTTAGTGATATTTTAGCGCCTCTTCCGAAATAAGGGCTTCAAAAGATTGAAGGGGAGGAGCCCCCTGAACTTGGATTTGTGAATTTACACGGGAATCTTTGTAAGACTTCAGGACACAGAACTAGTGTGAATAAGCAATATTGTACCAGGGAGGGAAGTGACTTTTTTTTAATCCTTTAACCTAAAAAATCCTTGATCTGCATAACAAAATAGTAAATCTAAAGTGCACACACACGCTCCCGTAGTCAGAGTATGTTACGTAACACAGCTCGCCAGATGTTTTCACCTTAACTGCATAAACACGGCTTGACATTAGAAGCTTTCAGGTTACTGAACACACAGGCTGACTCTAAATCAGTGTGTGTTTGTGTATGCAGCAGAGATTCAAAACCCAAAACAATGACAAACCAGGCGAACAGCAGAAAAAACCCAGAGCAAAAGTTGGTTGTTTTTCTAACACCTCTCCTTTTCTATTACATTCAAACTCACAAAGCAATTTTTTTTCTAGGCGATTTGGTTAAAAACCAGTAAGTGATGGTTGGTGAAGCATACTTAACCTATTGGGCAAGAAAAGGCTTCATGAAGACTTTGCGTGTGTGTGTGTGTGTGATTTAATGCGCCTGAACAACAAATGCCTCTGTACGGTCACCGATAAACCTGGGAGCAAGGAAGCTGTTTTCTGTTAACTTGTTTTCAAATTCTCCCATGGACCCGAGCTCAACAACGTTCTCAGGGCCACACTGAACTGGCCGTGTTAAAACACTGCACTCCAGGGGGGAGAGAGATTTATATAAATGTATATAAATGAAACTTTAGGCAGGGGAAAATAAACAAGGCTAGGGAGCCTTAACTTTCCCCGTCTCTCCATTAAGTCCCCCACCCCTCTGTCCTCCTGGGAAAGATCAAATTTTGATGTGGTCATGCCAACAGGTGCCATTTTTGAAGGAAATGCTGCCAAGGACGACGAAGTCTTCAAGCAGGCGGTGTCCGATCTGAACCTCAATGACGACATTTTACAGAGCGAGAAAATCACGTACTCCATCAAGCTCATAGAGGCCAACAACCCCTTCCATGCGGTGCAGGAAGGTAAGCGCCCCGGCGGGGGCTCCGCTTGGCTCGGCTCGGCTCGGCTCAGACCCGCGGCGAGGGCTTCGCAGAGCCCCGGCTGCTGGGCCGGGGGAGACGGTAGTTCTGCTTCGCGCGTCTGTTGCAGGTGTTTGTAAGGGGCGGTATGCCCGCGCTGACTCGCCTTCCCGCCCGTGGGCGTTATTTCCCCCTCTAATAATACGCGGGAAGGGGGGAGGGGTGTTGGCGCCAAAGAGCAGTTGAGGACCCCCCCGCTCCTGTCTTTTACTGTCAAGCTTGACAGGGCTGCTGGAGCCCCGTGCGCTGGGTGCACGATCGGGCTGGAGGCGGGCGCCGGGAGCCCTGTGGCCCAGGCGGTTCTCTTCCCGAGGCGCGGGCAGCTCTGCTGGGGCTGGAAACTTTCCGGCGGCCGAAGGTTGGCGCTGTTTCACAAGGAAAGAGCCCGGAGCGGGAGGCTGCCCGGCGCTGTGGTGGCTGCTCGCGGAGAGCTGTCATTCCTGTGAAACTCCCTCCCGAGCAGCAGCCGCTCGCTAGCGCGTGTGAGCGGCCAGGCAGGGCAGCGCACGTGTGTCCGGCGGTGCACGCAACACGAGCATCTGGCCTGGTGCCCCGTGTCTCGCTGGGCAGGTCCGGGCGGCGGCGCCTGGTCTTTGGCCGCAGGGCCAGAGCAGTGGCGGATGTCAGGCGTTGTGGGGTGTGCTGGGGGAAGGAAGGCAGCTCAGGCGCTGCACAGAGGCGACCTCTCTCGGCCTCGCAACCTGCGCTCTGGGGAAGGGCGATCCGGCTGAGGAGCCCTTCCTTGGGGAAGGGAGAATGTGAGCACGGGGCTTGGAGTTGCAACAGGTGCCAGAGCGAAGGGCACCTGAAAGCCCCGCTCACTGGCAGGTGCTTCGGATGTTATTTATTGGGGGGGGGGGGGGAGAGCGAGGGGCCAAACTACCCTCCCATAACTCTGTGATGTAAAGGCAGTTCAGTGCGATACAGGGAAGTCTAAGCCACCGATGAGAGAATGGTCGGAAGTGGAGCCTGCAAGTGTGTAAGGGAACAATTCCTTTCTACGGGAATTAAAGGGCCCTGGTAGTTACTGTGCGATGTCCCCGCAGGATTCAGAGTGAGTGTGGGTTGGGCTAGTTTTGCATTCTCGTTTTGTTTGTCTCCTGACTTGAACTCCCCGTGCCCGCAGACCGCCTTGGACTGGCGCAGAGCAGGGGTGCTTGTGTGTGCGTGAGGTCTAGTAACTCAAAAGATTGCTTCAAAGAATGTGAATGGTGAGACACAGTCTGAGCAGTCTTTGGTAAGAAACCAAAACACAGGTTTCAGAGTAACTGCCGTGTTAGTCTGTATTCGCAAAAAGAAAAGGAGGACTTGTGGCACCTTAGAGACTAACCAATTTATTTGAGCATGAGCTTTCGTGAGCTACACCAAAGCTTATGCTCAAATAAATTGGTTAGTCTCTAAGGTGCCACAAGTCCTCCTTTTCTTTAAACCAAAACACGTTATTGGTGCCCAAACGTTTAGGCTGGCCCGTAGCCACCTTGTGCCATCTCTAAGGTCTGTCCTAACTTGTTGCTGGGAGAGAGAGGGCTGAAAATGGAAGGAAATATTAAACATCCATCAATAAAGAGGCTTAGTGCTGCAATGTGCGGGGACTGCAATAAATGTGAGAAGTTGTGCAATGGCAGGGGCCTTGAAGCCCCCACTTTAAAAGGGGCTTAGGATCTCCCCCCCACCCCCAGGCAGAGGCTTCAGGCTTCTCTACCCCCCCCCCCCGAAAGCGAGTTTTGATTCACAGAGTGAGGGATAGTTTGATTTACATATGTTTAGATTTTACCAGTCACAGATAGGATCAAATACAGCTAGACTAAAATAAGGACTGGGTGAGAAGTCTATTCAGAATGGTGAGGATGCTGTCCTTGTACTTTGCTGTTGTGTTTAATACTTTATTATCATGTTAACCCCCTATTGTGTGGATGAATGGAGAAGTAAGTTTTGAAAGTAGGGAGAAAACTGGGAAAGTGGTTTGAAAAACAGCTGTTTTATTTCACAGTCTTTGATTCCACTGAGGTTTTACGTGTGGATTAAATGGGGTAGCTAAGTAACTGGCTGAGCATTTTCCTAGCGTTTATAAGATCTGACAAGTAGTTACATCGGTAAATCATTTCAATTAGCTTTTATTGCAAAGGAAAATGTTTGAGATTAATCAGCTTGCCTTTACAAATAAGACTTTAAAAAGATGTTATTGGGGTTTGATGAAGAAGCCAAGGTTGATTATTGCCTGGGTTATTTCAGCAGCAGGGTTTTTGAGTAATAATTATTCTAGAAAAGAGAGCTATTTATATACCCCAACAATATTTTAAAAAATGATTCATCACTAGTCTTACCCTTAATATTACAGAACAGGGAAAATAATCTTTTCCTCTGTGAAAATTTGCATTCATACATATGTATTTATGTGTAACTTGTGTACATGCAAATTATGGTTACAAAATTGCATCAAATATTCATTTTCATAAACCCCAAACAATTCCTTCTGACATCTTTTTGCCACCGTGCCTGCTTCTTTGCTGTCACATAAATCCAAGACAACAACAAAATAAACCTGTTTGGGGAACTGATCCAAAGCCCATTGACATAGATGACGTTCATTCAGTGGGCTTTGGATCAGGCCTGACATTCTTGAAAATGGGGCAAGAAAGGTGCTTGTGATTGGGGGAAAATACATAGTCACAAACTATGGAATAGAAGGGTTTATTATTGTCAAAGACTAACTGAAGGATCAGCTCTTCCTACATTTTCAAAATGTCAATGTCCTATATTGAAGTTTATTCATATTCATGGAAATGACAGTAGCTGGCTGGCTGAACAAGTGCTTCCAACAGTGTCTCCTCTTCTCAAAAGTAAAAGCTTTAAACTACTTTGATCACATTGGGATATAAGCTGACAGTCTTGTGGACAGCAAGTCCAATGGCTCAGATTGTTCTGAGGAACTTGACCAAACTAGAGAATACTTCTTGACTTGGTAGTTTTCTTTTTTTCCCTTTTAATCCTGCAGGAATAGCAGTACCTCCAGGAAAGAATATTTCCAAAGTAATAATTCACTGTGAAAACTGTGTTGAAACCACAGGAAGGATTCTGGTCAGACTTTAATCTATTTGGTACATATCATTAGGCACCACAGCATATCTTCAGTGCCTGAAAAAGTGTAGGACCCAGATTTTCTTGGAGATGCCCACTGATGGGCAGTGGGCACCTAAATTTAGAATAATTTCCTGCAGTTCTGATCACACACTGGAGACCAGAGGAAATATGGAATAAACGTTACAATTACATTGAAAAATCACCCTTTTTCACCTAGCTGTTAAGGCTTATGTCGTCCTCTTCTCTCTGGGACCTCAAAATGATCGTATCTTGCCACAATGGATGAGTAAAAAACAGAGTGGCAGCTTTATTGGTTCAAGTCAGACCCTCCCCCCCTTTTTGGGGTTTGAATTTCTTTCATTTGCAACTGTTATTCAATATGCTGACAGAATGATGCATGGGATGCACTAGTAACCATGCTATTTGTACTGCGCAGTATCTTTCTGCACAAAATTACATGGTGTCATTCTTACTATTCAAAGTTTTGTTGTAATCAGTTATGCAGATGCCCTACTCATTTCACTAGGACTTTGCTTACAGTAGTCAAAATAACCTGGAGCAAATCAGCTGCTCTAACTGCTCACATAATGTTGCTATTACTATATAAAATGCACTGACACCCACATTATTCTTCCTGTGTAATGTCTTTCTAAGCGGTCCCATGGAAATCGGTGTTGTAAACGTTAGTCTCATTGTAATGGGACGCTTTGGAGTAGAAATAGTCCAGTGTGATACTACGGCCAGAGTAGCTCACAGAATCAAACAAGGCACACAATATTATTTTTTGTTTCAAGTACCTTTATAAACAGCATTACCCAGTAACACTGTGAATTATTCCTACTTAAATCAATGGTGCAAGCAGGCACTTCATTTCAGTGGTACTAAGGTAATATTATGAAAAGTAAACACTCCATGTGACAAGGTTTATTACACTGTAACAAGAATTTAATTACTGATAATATTTTTTCAATGCACTTGGGTTGGTATTTAGTATAAGATTTTTTTGCAGGGGTAGGAAAAAAATTTGAAAAGCAGCAGTATTTTTTCGATAGGATCAGTTCACTTCCAGGAGTAATGGCCTACTTAAAGTATTTTATTTTTCAAAAACAAGCCATTTTCAACACTAGGAGATATACAGATATACCTTAGACATTGGAAAAAGCTATAGGGACCTTTGCTCAACAGAATACAGTGATGGTGAATGCCCGGTAACTGCAATAGGTAAATGAGAGCTGAGTATTTGTGTGTGTGTGTGTGTGTCTCTCTCTCTCTCTGTTTAGGTGGAATTCCATGCTAATGGGTTTATAGATGCTTGAGCATAGCAGTTAACATGGAGCCTAGTTCTAAAACATGACCCTAAGTAGTTCAGCTTGCATCTTGTGGGGAAAACTTCCTCTTATGACTCAGTAATAATTTGTATTACAGTTGTGCCTAGTTGCCAATGGTCAAGGCCTCATTGTGCTAAGGGTTGTGCAAACAAGCAGTAAAGAGACAGTCCCTGCTCCACAGAACTCGCAATCTAGTTTTATAACAAGATGCAACAAGTGGATGAAACAATCAAATGTGGGCAGCGGAGAAGTATGACATAACAGTGAAATCTGGTGTCTTTCATGTATATATAAAATAGGACTTGATTTTATATTTGTGCTCATGTACTGGAATGACACTTTCTGGAGTATGGTCTTTATGCCTATGACAATTAGTGTTAATTGAGAGAAAAAAACATGTTCATTGTAAATAGCTGGCAAAAAATCAAAACCTGAGAATGGTTACTCTGGTTTGGCTGTTCTATAGAAATCAGCAGCAGCCTTTCTGCACAATATTACATGGTGCAATGTTAATTTAATTTAATTTTGTTCTCT